ACATATATATATGGTATACATACACACAAGATGAAGCATAAAACAAAAGAAGCATAAACCAGAATATCTTGAAAATTAAACACGGTAGTGAAAAAAGTTTCAGACAGAAGTTGTATGATTCGAAGGGGAACAAATAATGAAATCGTTTTTTAAAAAAATCGATTTTCAAGGTCACATGGAGGTCACCTCCATTTTTTTAAATAGAATGATATGATTTTTTTACACAATATAGTTTCTCTAATTATTCTGCATATGAAAGTATTAAGGCAGAATTAATAATGAGATAAATAAATTGGTGGAAAAAACACATAGTTGCTTTAAAAAAATATGTGTGCTTTAAAAAAAAAGGATAACTTTTTAAATAAACAATTAGGTGATTTTTTCCATCAATTGATTCATCTCATTATTCTGTTCATAAAAATATTAAGGTATGATTATGAAAAAATTAACAGTTATTTAATATTTTAAGTCAATATGTACCACAATAAAGTATAAAATATCTCGTAAATTATTGGTTTTTTTATATCACTATCTTAAGTATTATTTTACTAACTTAAATATTCTTCTAAAAGTTAGAAAATATCTGGTATCCGGTATTATCCGGCACTTTTTTACTATCCGATCGAATAGTTGAATATCATTAGTATCCGGGAATATATGCGGTTGAAATTTGATATCATTAAATTGTTGATTTTTTTCTTATACAAATGTTCTAGAAACAAGTACGTGCAATATATTCATGATGCTATAATATGGTATACATTGTTGCAATGTTATACAAAATTACAATCTTTTTCTCTATAGGCTTTTTTTTTTAAATGTAATACCTTTTCCTTTACAGTTCGCCATTTATTAATAATTATTTATTATAAATAGTAAATTGTTAATATTTATCATAGAAGAACGATAGGATCACCTTTTTTTTTATTTCAATTTTCCATAAAATTGAAAAATCACTCATTTTTATTTTGCAAAAAAAATATCGTTTTTAGAATAAATCACAAGAACTTATAGTTTCTTAAAGTTCAACTCATTAGCTGTTGATTTATCACTAATAAAATCTTTTTTCATTTATTTTTTATAAAAAGATGAGGTTTTGAACAAAATTTGTTTTTTCATGTTTTTTTTTCGATCCCTTTTCACTTATTGTAAAATGTCTTTTGTGCTATGACATTTTAAACTTTCTAACTCAAAAATTCTTTTTTTTTTCAGTCTTCAAACGATAAATTCAAAAAAAATTT